TGGCCAACGTCGGTAATGCCCCGAGCTGGTGGCCTGCAGCTTTGGACTGTGTTCAGCAGACTGGGTGGGGCCTACCCAGGGACCCTGGTTGCAGAGTAGGAAGCCAGTTCCAGAAGGTTCCCTGGCTCAGCCTCCCCAGACCACCTGGAGAAGGAGCAATGAGTTCCCTATGGGTTTGGATATGAACCGAGACTCCTGCCTCTGGCCAGATAAGAACTCTGTCCCCACCCTCTCAGCCACCCCTGTCCTTCTTGTGACCTCCTGTGCCCCACCTTTCCCTCTCCTAAAACTGTGGAATTGGGAATAAAAAAAGAAATAACCATCTCCCAATTCGACCTGGGTTTCAACCTTACTCTGCAATTTGCCAGCTGAGTGACCCTGGAGAAGTCACTTTACCTTTCTTAGGGTCAGTTTCCTTCTCTGTATAATCCCTATGCAGCATGATCACAAGTATCCAGTTGTGCAGTTGTGTTTCTCAGTGCGTGGCTCCATCCATACGCTCACCAGTGCAGCTCTCCAAATGTTTGAAACCAAAACAAAAATTTGGAGATGTTAGGATCTCCAAAGTGGGATTTGTGCACCCCAGAGAGTGGGCAAGACCATCCACTGGGATATGGGAAGAAAATATTAGACCTTCTGACTATATATTTTTTCATCTTTTTAAAATTCTATTTTTGTATTTGGTCCATAAGATATGCAAATGTATTAGCAGAGTAGTACATACACATCATTTATAAATAATATACACATATGGGGGGGTGCATGGTAAAAGTTTTTAAATGGTGAGTATGTGAGGACACTGCTTTAGAGGAGGAAAGGTTCCCATAGCTTTCTAGAAGTTTCCTTGTGAGGAAATGCACAGAGTAGATCATTTCTGGGTGATGTCTAGGGGTTGCCCTGGCTATTAGCTTCAGAGATGCAAATGCCCTTAGCTGTCCAGGGAACCAGTGAAGGAAGGAGACCTTGGGACTTTCAGGGCCTTCCTAAAGGTGAACTGTGTGTTTATGACTTTGCAGAAAATAATTGTAAGAGTAATAATAGCGGACATTTATTGAGTGTTTACTATGTGCCAGGCACTGTTCTAAGCACTTTACATATGTTAACTCTTTTAATCATCATTATCAACCTAAAAGGAAGGTACCATGATTATCCCCAATTTAGAGATAAAGGAATGAAGCCCAGTGAGGTTACATAATTTACCCAGAGCTGCAGAGTGGAGCAGACAAGATTGAACCCAGGCATTCTGACCCTAGAGCCCGAGTTGTTTAACCCCTATGTGCCCAACCTGAAAACAAGAAGGGCCAGGGAGACTGTTGGTGGGAGCAAGGAAGACAGAAGGAGGTGCAAGTTGATCCTAGAGTGGCAGGGTCTTTGGGGTTGGAGTGAGGGGAGTGGCCATAGACGGAGAGGGCACCATGTGACGAGCTGCAGCCTGCAGAACGCACAGGAGAAGAGAGAACAGCAAGGGGGAGAGTTGGGGTCAGCTGTGGGAGCCAGTGGGGAGCCTGGGATGAACCGCAGAAAGGTGGGGTGGGGGTCCTGCCATCAGGCTTTGCCAGACGGGGTTCAGAGGAGGACCGCAGGGAGCCCATGTGGAGTTCCTTGAGAGCCCCACACGGGGCAGACACAGCCCGCAGACGCCTACCCCTCTGCCTGTGCTGAGGAGAAAGCAGGACCTACACCTGCGCCCCACTCCACACCCACTGACTCTCGTGTTTTCTAGGAAGTCAACGAAGGCTTCCTGGAACTGGAGCAGAAGTAGCCCTTCCTCTCAAGGAGATGGTGAGCTCCCTGTCTTTGAAAGTGTGCAACCAGAGGCCGGATGACTCCATGATGGGTTTTCTAGAGGAAGATAGGTGTGGGGTAGACCCTAAAGGCTCCTTCCCTTCTGAAATGCTCAGACCTGTGACTCTGAGTGAAGGGAAGAGGTATAGAGTGGAGAGGAGAGGAGTCAAGGGTAAGTCCTTGGACACTGTGATCTTGTATCACTCTACTTATCTCAGCCTCTCTCTGGGTCTGACTGGCTGGAAAAACAGTGAGCCACTCTCTGGGAACAGCTCTATCCCTGCAGGGCTGCTGCCCTGCAGGGTGGGCCTCCTTGTGCTCTGCAGAGCTTTTCAGGGCAGGCTATACACCTGAGTTATTTCACAGTGAGCTTGGATTTTTCACTTGATTTTATGCTAAAATTCTTTCCATCCCTCCTGATCTGTAGGATCACAACTTACAGATATTTAAATGCCATGCAGTTGCATTGGCAATTCTCTCTAGATTTGCTTTGCAACAGGCTTTTGAGGGATCTGTGATTTTTGGTAGAAAATAATTATATCTTTATTTTCTTTAACCTCTAACTAGAATTTAATATTTCCTTTAATAATGAATGTAGGCAATAAACCCTGAAAGTATAAGCAGTAGCAGTGGCTTTGTCGCCAAGACAAATCACAGATATTTTCCTATCACATTACAGCTGTTGCAGATCACTTGAAATATTGTTTATGCATATTGCCACTTTGAAATTACAGAAGTTATTAGACCTGCTGCGTTCATAAAGAAGCACATATACTACTATTTCACAAATATTTTGATAACTATTTTGATATAATTGGTTTCCTCTGTAATCCTATGTGTTTTGTTTTGATGCATTTAAAAACATTATGCTGAGACTTCATGCGATGCCAAAGATGTTCACGGCACAAAAAAGGCCAGTTATCCTTGCTTCACAGTCCTGATACTAAGGCCAATGACCTCATGTGCCTGGCACTCTAGGGGTGCTTTAGAGGTGAAAGCAGGTGCACAATACATCCTTTTTGAATGAATGATTTGGAGTTCCTATCACAATTATAGAACTATGGAGCTGGAAAGTCTTTAGAAAGTCTTTACTGCAATGATTTTCAAACTTCTTGGTCACAACCCACAGCAGGAAATACATTTTCCTTTGTGATCCATTACCTGCCTATGTGAAACAAGTTTTTTAATAAAATATGACGTATCTTTAAGTGCACGATACACTCTTACAACTTCTATTTTTTTAATCTATTATATTTCTCTTTTGAGAGATGATTGAATTTTCATTCAGAACAACTATAATGGCTGACAAAAATTGAATTAATACCCAGAACAATTTGCTTCAATTGGAAATTAATAGTAGCAGATTTGGAAGCAAGCAAACAGAGGCAGAAAGCCTTAGTATTCTGACAACAGATAAAAGGCATAAAAGTGATCAGTGTGCTCTCAGAATAATTTAGAGGTGGAATATTTACAGTTAATGTGCAGGGAAAAAAATAACCCACATAAGCCCAAATCACACAAATTAAAATTCATTTAACTATATAGTTGTAAGCATTTTTTTAGACAAAATTTCACCATTCTTAAAGTAGGAGTATTCAAGAATACTTCTTTATATAAGCTAAAAGTAAAGATGGCCCGATTATCCTGGTTAGGGAGAGATCACATAATAATCAGTCTATATTCAAAATCCAGAGAAACCCACAAACTCTGCCAACAAAAATAAAGGGGTAAAAACTAAGACTGGCCAAAACTGGCAATCAGTTGCACAGGGAGGCAGTGGATCACTCTTCACTTCACTGCTAAAAGCCATTGCACTGGGGACCGACGTTAAGTCCTTTCTACACTTTAGGAACCTGGATGCCAGCCATTACAGGGCCCGATTTCTGTGAACCAAGTTCTGTGGAATTTGCCTGAACACTGGGGTCCACTCAGCACTTAGGTCAATGTGATAGGAATTACCTCCGGTTTCAACACAAGCTTCCTGGTCTGAGGATATAATTTGTACATTCTTCCTTAGCTTCAGAGGCAAATGCCCTGTGGTCAAATAGATCCAGAATGGTTGCAGGGATAACTTGACTTTTACGAGACGCCATGTAAGACTCTTGACAATTCAAGGTAAGTCTTGAAGCCTGCTCACTTTGACCCAAATTTACTAAACCCATGACATGCAGGGGATCCACTGGGGCTGGATGAAGTTTCCATGGACAGAGGTGTCACTGAAGGGATGACTGAGGACCAGAGAATGGGCCCTGGGAGACTCGTGAGTGTATTCAGCAAATTTCTGGGCCACACAGCCTCCTCAGAAAGACCTCAAAGATGAACTTTATCCAGTTGTATGGACAACAGATATACGGTTTAACAGTTTCCTGAAATCATCATAGAACTCAAGATGGTCCTAATAAACTAGATACTGGGAAACTCTAACTTGGGGTGGGGGTGGAGATAGGGTAAGAGTACGTGGATACTTCAGAGGTTTGCATTCACCGTGACTATACTATCATCACGTCCTACTAGATCTTTTTGGACTTCTAAACCAGTTTTAATCAGGAGAGACTGTACTCTCTCCCACGACTAGCTGAAAGAAGGCTTAACCCTTCAGGGGCCGCCCCCAGACATTCCGCTCCTCCAAACATCTGTTCCCTCCTGCCCAGAGAGCCTTGGGCAGTGACCAGCAGCCAGGAGCAGCCGGGCAGCTTTGCGAGGATAGGGTGCGTGCCTCCACCCTTCCATCGCCTTGTTTTAAAATGCTGGTCGCGACCTAATAAACTGATATCCGTCACAGTAACAGGTTGTGACTTGCAGTTTGAAAAACAAAGCTGTATTTCACTGAAAAATTTTTGAAGCAACAGAACTCTTGCAGTCATCATGTGTAGTTTAATCTCAAACTACAAATGAAGAGACTGGAACCCAAACGGCCAAGAGGTCAGCTGCTGAAACCTAAAACTGCGCTTCCGGAAGCATGTTCCCAGGGGCCCCGCCCCCCGGGGGAAACCAGCGTGACCGGGGCGTAGCCTCTTTCCCCCTCTACCCTCCTACCCTCCTACCCTCCTACCCTCCTACCCTCATCCTCGTCCGCCCCGTGCGCGGCGTAGCAACAGCAGGGGCCGCTGCGGCATGCGCCGCTGCGGCATGCGCCGGCGCCCTGGGGACCAGCGAGATGCCCCGCCCCTTCGTGAGCTCATCGCCGCGCGTCGCGGTCGCGCGGAGACTGGCGTCAGACGAGCCGCAGGGCCGTGCAGCCGGGCAGTGAAGCGGTGAGTTGGTCCGCGCAGCGGTGGGGATGGCAGTCGCTAACCGCCCAGGCTGGAGGGCGGGTGAACGAGGGTGGGCCCGAGGCTGCCTCTAAGACGGTTTGCTCAGGAATGCTCTAGGCTGCGGGGCCCGAGGGTAGTGGCTTCCGTGACTCCATTTATCCTGGCCTCTCGACGTGCGGGGCCTAAGGGGAGAGGGTAGATGGCCTCATCTTGCATCCTGAGGGTGTTCTCTGCAGCCTCGAGATTAGGGCTGCTTTCTCTGCAGTAAAGGTCTCAGTGTCCGTAGACGGAACGACTGTCTTAACCGAAGTTTTCCAGTGGTGGGCCACGCTGTCTTCTTAGGTAGCGAGCTGCACAGGTACAAGCACAGGCTGAGTTATCTTTATTTCAAGTACCATGTAGTGTTATGGGTTGCTGACCTGCCTGAGTACTTTAATAGGGACATGTGTAAAGTTCTTTAGAAACACTGAGGAGGGAGCAATGAATTCTGCCTAGGAAGTTGGGAGGAAAGTTCTCTTAAGAGAGAAGGTAGCAAGAGAGGGCTTTGGGGTCCTCTTAGCTCTTAAATTATTAGAGGATAAGAAACTGATGTAAGAGGTAGTGTAGCTTGGTGGCCTATACTATAGCTTGTATCCACCTTCTACTGTCAGACTAACCTTAGGAAGCTTCCTTAACCTCTGTTGAGTCTCACTTTCCTTATCAGGAAGGTAGAGGTGATAATAAGAATATCTACTAAGTGGGGTGAGAGGGTTCAGTGAGCTAACCTATGTGTAGAACGTAAAACAGAGCCTGACTCATGGTATATCCTCAAACGTGCATTCATTGATAGAAGCACACCTCTGTCTTGAGGAGGCTGGCTTCATGGAGTTGGCTTCCTGCAAACCTTCCTACTCTTTTGTTTCTCTCTGTTGCAGGGATGTGAGGCAGGATTTGGAAGGGGAGAGGGTAGGCCTCTGCTTCACTGGGCAGAGGGCTGGTGCCCAAGCAGAGTTGTAATACTGTTCATTTCAGCAAAACTGGCTTGAGCTCCTGCCTGTCTTTCCTACCCTGGCCAAGATCCTGTTCTTGGGTCACAAATTAAGCACTACCAACTTGATTGAGATCTTCACAGGCAAAGATTATTTACAAATCGTTTGTTTGTTTTTTCTGTTATCCTTGGAAAACCTTCACGGTAGCCTTTTTGGGTTTACAAATTTAAAGCAAGTAACCTGGATGCCTTAGCTGTATGGTCTCCTCTGTCAATGGATAGAATTGAGGGAGCCATGAACTTGGATGAGAAGAAAAATTGCATCCTTATGTTCTCTAACCTCTAACTGAAATTTAGCGTTTCTTTCGATTAGGAATGTTGTCAGCAAACCACAGTATTGACAGGTTGACTTTGTCACCAATAGAAATTACAGATATTTTCATATCTTAGCATACTGTGTAAGCTCATGACAACTTTGATATTACGGTAGTTATTAGACTTGCTGCTAGATATTGTTATGTAATGTGTAAATTAAGAATCACATGTTATGCTATCACAAATTTAATTTTTGTATTTGGTAAAATTTTTTTTTTTTTTTTTGTATTTGGTAAAATTTTATTTCGGTATACAGTTGATCTTTATTCTCAGCTTCTGTATTTGCAAATTCATCTACATGTTAAAATTTATTTGTAGGCCCCAAGTCAGTACTTGCAGTGCTTTTGCGGTCTTTCTTGGACATGTGTGAGGTGGTGAAAATTTTGAGTCAACTGACACACATTCTCAGCTGCAGTTGAACAAGGAAACATTCTGCCTTCTTGCTTCAGTTCTCATGCTGTAAACAAGTGTCTTGTTTTCAGTCTGTTAGTGCCATGATTTTTGGATTTTTGTGCTTTTATTGGTAATTTCAGTGTTTAAAATGGCCCCCCCAAGCACAGTGCTAAAGTACTCTTAGTGTTCCTAAGTGCAGGAAGACTGTGATGTGCCTTATGGAGAAAACACACGTGTAGATAAACTTCATATAGGCAAGCATTTTGGTGCTGTTAGCCATAAGTTCAGTATTAATGAATTACCAACGTAAAATAAGGTGTCTTTATTATTTTAATAGACCTTTATTGGAGTATAATTGCTTCACAATATTGTGTTAGTTTCTGTTGTACACCAGAGTGAATCAGCCATATGCGTACAAGTGTCCCCATATCCCCTCCCTCTTGAGCCTCCCTCCCACCCTCCCTATCCCACCCCTCTAGGTCATCGCAAAGCGCTGAGCTGATCTCCCTGTGCTATGCTGCTGCTTCCCACTAGCTATTTTACATTCAGTAGTGTATATATTTCGATGCTACTCTCACTTTGCCCCAGCTTCCCCCTCCCACCCCGTGTCCTCAAGTCCATTCTCTGTGTCGACATCTTTATTCCTGCCCTGCAACTAGGTTCATCAGTACCTTTTTTTTTCTTAGATTCCATATATATGTGTTAGCATATGGTATTTGTTTTTCTCTGTATGACTTACTTCATTCTGTATGACAGACTCTAGGTCCATCCACCTCACTACAAATAACTCAGTTTCATTTCTTTTTATGGCTGAGTAATATTCCATTGTATATATGTGCCACATCTTCTTTATCCATTCATCATCATCAAGTGTCGATGGACACTTAGGTCGCTTCCATGTCCTGGCTATTGTAAATAGTGCTGCAGTGAACATTGTGGTACATGTCTCTTTTTGAATTATGGTTTTCTCAGGGTATATGCCCAGTAGTGGGATTGCTGGGTCATATGGTAGTTCTGTTTTTAATTTTTTAAGGAACCTCCATACTGTTTTCCATAATGGTGGTGTCAGTTTACATTCCCACCAACAGTACAGGAGGGTTCCCTTTTCACCACACCCTTTCCAGCAGTTATTGTTTCTAGATGTTTTGATAATATCTATTCTGACCATCGTGAGGTGATACCTCATTGTAGTTTTGAGAAACATGCATAAAACAAAGTTACATATTGTTTGGTTACCAAAAATATTATCAGAGTCTTGCAGGAACCTAATGCAGTGTCTCCCTTAGGAGCAGTGGATCAGTCAGTGTTCACTAATTCGGTGTTCAGTGATGTTATAGAACATAACTGCCTGGAATAACAAGAATGGCCCATACTTGGTTTCCTTTCTAATCCTATGTATTTTATTTTATGTATTTAAAAACATCCTGAGAAGGGGTTTATAGGCTTTACAAGGCTGCTAGAGGGTCTATAGCACACACAAAAAAGATCGAGAACTCTTATTATAGCCTGAGAAATTAAATCTATTCCTATGGTTAAGTTTGTGTTTAGCTGAGCTAAGTCCTTAAAGACTTCAGCACCTTTTGGGAGACATGTGTCTCCCTCTAGCTCATGTCCTCATTTACATGCCTACTGGCTCTTATAGGCATTTTTGGCTGAGATCCCCGCATGAACTCTAAGAACTTTGCTCCCCCATATTTGCTTGTTGAGTTTTGAATAAATAAAATTTTAAATTAAAAGGTCCTGTGGTTTTTATCTCTCTGAAGAGCAGCAAAGGAGGGAGACTGGTCCCTCTCTGTAGTCAACTTGAGGAGAAGAAAACATGAGAGGTGATAGATACTAGTTGAGAAAGAAGTCCGTGCCACCTGGTAGGGCTTGTGAAGGGGGCCCCTGGGACTGATCCACAGAAAAGTGTCCGGGCAACTCTGCCAAAGAGTTGCCTTATTTTCTTGATCAAGGGGAACCTTCTGTAGCCCCCTCTGTCCTGATGACACCCCCTTACTGAAACCCTGGTATTGTTTCCACAGAGCTGTCTGGCCTTTAGCCCTTCATCCTTGGTTAAGGAAATGACCAACCAGGTAAGGCCTATGGAGAGAAAGAATATCAGTTGGTCTCTTTGGCAGGTTCGAGCCCAGTACGTTGTCTGGGTGTGTAGTCAGAAAACTAGCATCTGATTCCTGCTCTTCTCCTGAAGAGTAGGGTGACCCTGGGCACCTAGTCACCAGCGGGTAGCTGGCACTAGTAAAATGCACAACACTAAGAGGAGGATTATTTTATCTAAGTCTGTACCACAGTTTACAAAGGGATTGAGGAAGCTTAAAAGAATTTGTACACAAAAACGAGAAAGAAACAAAGATCAGAAAAAGAGAAACATATCTTTGTAATAAATTAGGGACAGAGTTAACAGGTTATGCAGACTGTGTGGTTTTATACAGCTGCAAAAATTAAGCTGCAAACTGGACTCTGAGCTTCCTGGTGATCAGAGCAGGAAAAAACACGTAATTTACTACTCTCCTTTTTGGGTTGGTAATAGTGGTTAGGGAGAAGAGACAATAGTTTGTCTAAAATTAAAGAACTAATTTTTTTCTGGTATGACTCTACAAACCTTGCATGAGCAGGAATCAAGGAGCTCCTAAGAGATCAGGCAGGGGAAGCAGCTAACACTGTGGTGACTATATCTACCGGGGGGCAGGGCGGTGAGTTGGGTGCCAGGGGGTGTTTTAGGGAAGGGATGGGACACATCTGAAATCTGACCGTTGGTTCAATGTGTCTTCTGTTCTTTTTTAGTACAGTATTCTCTTCAAACAAGAGCAAGGTAAGCAGCTTGCCTGTTCAAGCAAATTTACCTATGAAAAACTGTTGTCCCTGGCGTAAGGTTTTTGTCATGCTGACCAGACATGCAGTTTCCAACTGTACTCTGCAGAAACATTGGCAGAAGCAGCTGAAAACAAATACACTTAAAAACAAACAACAACAACAACAAAAACCAAGCCACTAACTTAAAAGAAAAAGCAGGAGTCAAATGACAGACCGGAGAACTCCAGGCTGAGGAAAGCTTTCCCACCTGAGGAACTCTGAGCTTCCCAGCTATCAAAGTGAAAGAAGGAAACGCTTTGAGTCTCAGAAATCTGTTAATGGCACAGCTCATCTGGGGAGGTAAACTTGAGCCTGGCCCTGAACTCAGAAGTTCTCTTGGGGGTTTTTATCGGGCTCCTTCATTTACAACAAGTGCAGAGGACCTTTGACCCTCAATGAAAGTGAAGGATATAGTAACAGCGAGGTGAATTTCTGTCAAGACTACTGAGTGTGGGGGGTGGGCTGGGGGCTGTGCATTGGAGACAGTGGTGGGAATGGGAGCAGGAGGCAGGTCAGAGTTCAGTCTAGAAAGGTAACTGGCCAGTGATACCGGACTTCATACCTGAAAAGGAGTATGTGCCTGGACTATTCACATGTATCCCATTTCTCCACCACAGCCTGGATGAGTTAGGTAAAGCCTGGAGGAATTTGTGGAATGCCTAATAAAAGCTCTTCCACTTTAAGTAGGTGACATTTAGGTAGTCTAAAGTTTAAGCCAAAAGCATTCTTTCAGGTTAGCTAGCATAGGTAACTAGGAGCTAGTCAGGCATGCCAGTCAGCTACCTTGTATGCAGCGAATGCCATCCGGCTGGCAAGCTAGCAGGCTTGGGTCGCGTGGGGATTGTAACGGAAGCCATGTATGTAACTCACAGCTGTTTAAGTTGAATGCCCTTGTATTCATATCTTGAAAAGGTGTTCCTGGAGAAATGCTGCCAGGTATGAAGAAAGCCACCTTGTGCACTTGTCACATTTATATTCCTGCACCAGGTCTGCAGACCCACCGGCATGGCCTGCCAGATATGCAACTTAAAGACTTAGAATTTAAAGTGGACGTTAGTTAATAGAGAGGTTGGGTTTGAATCCCAGTTCTGCCTCTTCTTAGCTTTTGACTTCGGGTGAGCTACTAGGCTTCTCTAAGCCTCTGATTCCTTATCTGTAAAATGAAAATACTATTCACAGTACCTATTTCATAGGGTTGTTGTGGCTGAGGTAATACTTATAAAAGGATTAAAGTAATAACTGGCCCATTAAACATAATAGACATTGTGGCAAAAGGCAACTCATGCGTGGAAGCTGCTTTAGTTATTTATTTTCAGACCTGCCTACTGGTTTCCAAGGATCTCTAAGAAATAACTCTTATCAACTTTAGATCTCTTTTTGGGGTGGGTTTCACTTTAGCTAAGTGAGAGCCATTCCAAACTAATGCATGTTGGACAGCATGCTAAAGTAGAAAGGACATTGGATTACTATGGTACTGCTGCCCTACCTGGTAACCTGTGATTTGGGGCAAGTAGCTTCTTCAGAACCTCCAGTTTTCATATCTGCCTCCACAGTTATAATAAAAGCTGTATGAGAAAGCAGTTTGCAAAACAATAAAGTGATACAGGTAGATATTACCTCAGAGTTGTTGTAACAGTATTTCAGCTTCATCTTAGCACATTCAGTTTAGAAGTTGCATGAAGACTTTTAAAATGAAGCGCTTTCCATTCTAGCCCATGATGATGCCATTTGGTCAGTTGCCTGGGGGACAAACAAGAAAGAAAACTCTGAGACGGTGGTCACAGGATCCCTGGATGACCTGGTGAAGGTCTGGAAATGGTGAGTGCCCTCTCCTCTAACATGCAGCCTTGGAAATTGGGGTTTTTACTTCTGGGCTCCCAAATTGCAATCAGAGAAGTATTAACTGTTTTCTGAGCAAGAAAGCAATAGTAGTATGGTGGTATACAAAGGCAGATTATTTTTCTCTCACTCGTTTTCCTGTTATTCGCTGTTCAGGCCCTATAGTTTAAGAAAAAAAAAAAGTCTCATGGCTAAAAGTTGGCTGCATTTGGTGTTCTGTGGCTCTTGATTTCCTCTCTGATTCTGCTTTTCACAGACCATTGGTAATGCATACTTACAGGGGCCCAGAATTTCAGATGCCAGGTACAATGTGTTGTGTGTGAAGAAATCCATTTCTCTGTCCCCCATTGAAGGCGTGATGAGAAGCTGGACCTACAGTGGAGTCTGGAGGGCCATCAGCTGGGTGTGGTGTCTGTGGACATCAGCCACACCCTGCCCATTGCTGCGTCCAGTTCTCTTGATGCTCATATTCGTCTCTGGGACTTGGAAAACGGCAAACAGATAAAGTCTATAGATGCAGGACCTGGTAAGAGTTTTACTCTTAGAGAAGATACTAGAGGTTTACAATCCATTTTTGAAACCTTTAGGGATAGATGTATTTTACAGTTCAGAATTTTTTGGATTTGAGACTGGTAATATGGGTGCGTGAACTGTATGTCATGTAATACCTTCAGTGGGGCTGGGGGCAGCACTCTAATCAAATACTGATACCTCAGCGACTAAACATGAGTATTTACACTAAGAGAGGTATATACACGCTATAAATAGCCTTACATCAGTTCAGGTCAGGTTTTATTACCAAATGAATTTAAGTACTAAAATTATTTTTTTAAACTTACAGTTTTCATTGCCTTTGGGTTTCAGAATTGCTGATTTGGGATTGTGGACTTGTGTTTGAATGGTCCAGAGGTCCTCTGTTTGCTATATTCTGAATTGATACATTCACTGCCTTATAGAGGTCTAGAACATAAAGCACTGTGTCCTCATAGATCTGTATCATGGTAATCTCTACTAATTATGATTAAAGTGCCTGTTTCTAGTATATGATAGATATATGAAACTTCTAAAGAAACAAATCCATTGTTTGTTTGTTTTTTTAAGTTCTATAGGACAGCATAATCTTGTCCATTAGCCTTGATAAATATCTGAGGTAATGGAAGCTAATGATTTCAGTAGGTTGGATTAATGTGGAACAAGCAACATGACATTTCAGGATTCCTTGTAGCCTTATATTTACTTGTAAATGACTGCATAGCATTCATGAGCAGAGCCTGTTCTACCAGAATAGGTGATGACCGGTAGAGAGTACAGAGAGTCTGGTCCCTCTCTGGCACACCCCTCTGTGGGTTGACTACGGAAGAGCTGCTCAGGGATTTCCTTAACTTAATTCCCTTGATTGGAGACCCAGGTGGATTTGTCTCCCACTGGTTATGTTCAGTAGACCCTATAGGCTGTACTTATTCTGGAAAGAATGATGGTCCGAGGGTTTTAAGGACTCTGGGTTGTCTGGAAACTGAGTTCATTTCCCCTCAGTGGCAATGTTCCATGTCTCTGATTCTTAACTATTACAGCTTTTTAAATAATGCATATGTCCAATCCCTATTTTGGATCCACTGAATCACAGTTATTGGGGTGTGTGGGCTGGGATATGTATTTGAAAAAAGCTACCCAGACACTCTGACTCCCCAGATGATTGTTTTTGCATGTGTCCTTGCCCTGTTGAAATCTCTTACAGAGGACTTGGGTCCCCAAACTAGCCCACAAAGTCTGTTAAGACTCTGCTTTATAGCTGAGAGGAGGAAGAGGCAGATCTGTTGCTGCCTTTTCATATTGGACACCTAAGCCCTCCCATGACGCCAAGGTCACTGCGTGGTTTTGTGCCCCCCCCCACCCCGGGCACACCACAGCTGAAGAAATGATTACTGGATTGGTTCCAAGGAAGAGGATGGTGTCTGTATCCACCTTGCCTTCCCTGACAAATAGTACCTTAAACTACATACTGGTTCCACGTGTGGCAAATGATCATTGAAAGATTACTGTTAGGAAAGAAAAAAGATACTGAGATGAGTAGAGGGTTGGGTTTATTTTCTTTTTGGATAGGAATATTCCTAAACTATACCAGACCATTAAACAACAGTTATTTGGGTGAGTAATAAAAGCAAGCATTGCTATTGACAACTAAGGAGTGGCTGAATTGAATTCATCTGAAGGTAAAACTAGTAAGTCTAGGTCTAATGAATGTAGGGAAATGGGCATTTACATTATACCTATCTTGAAAATATGCCTGGAGAATGTGAAAGAAGGAACAGAAGAAGGAGAAAAAGACAAGAAAGAAAATCTCAGATCCTGAAGAAGAAAGTGAGGAAGTAGAAGAAAGGGAAGATGAAGGGGAAGATCCTCCATTGGGCACCTCACCCATCCTGTAGCTCCAGCAAACTGACATTGAAGAAGAACAAAGGCGGAGGCATAGGGGCCTCTCAACATCAGATGGTTCAAGATGTCCCAATGTAAAGAAAAGCTACTCTTTTGCTGATGAGGTGGAACTTAGTGATTTATTATGCAAATGTTAAAATAAATTTTAGACTGCACATTTTAATGGAGGAATAAAAATTCCAAAAAAAAAAATTCCTTCAATTTCGAGTATAAGGATATTGGCCACTAAAAGTTCTATATTATCAAACAGTTAATAGGCAAATGTAAAAATAATTCAAAAGTGTGATTTTATTAAACTTCAAGGAATAAAAATCAGATTTTCTAGTAACTATTATACCTGTAAACAGTTAATTATGATAGGAATAAGAAAACAATCCTGTTAGAATAATGCTTTACTCATTTAGGAGTAAAGATAGATATTAAAGAGCAGTTATTTGAGAGATTGATTATAAAAGCTTTTTCGGATCTTCTTGGTTAATTGAGCCCTGTTGAAGTTAATTTCCTTTTTAAAACAAATATTTCATAAGAAAAGTGATAGAGCTAAATTATTTATTATTACTTTGAATATGTGTGTTAAAATTTGTGAGAGGGCTTCCCTGGTGGCACAGTGGTTGAGAGTCCACCTGCCGATGCAGGGGACACAGGTTCGTGCCCCGGTCCGGGAGGATCCCACATGCCGCGGAGCAGCTGGGCCCGTGAGCCGTGGCCACTGAGCCTGCGCGTCCGGAGCCTGTGCTCCGCAACGGGAGAGGCCACAACAGTGAGAGGCCCGCATACTGCAAAAAAAAAAAAAAAATTGTGAGAGATTTTTTATTTTAAAACTCACCGTGGAACATGGTGCTGACCCATCTGTGCTAGGAGCCCCTGTCTACCATGAGTTAAGCTCAGAGAGGCCTTCACTCTCCCCTGGGCTGAGAAGGGCCCTCTTTGAGCCCTGCCCCAGGAATAAGGAGAGTGACATGGGAAGGAGCCTTTCTCTCCTCTCCCTTTGATCTAACAAGTACTGTTTCTGGGCAGGTGCAGGAGGGGCAGGACTTAGGGTACATTCCCATATAAGAGTGGGTATGGGCAAAGGGACCTAGACTAGCACTGGACAACTAGATTATTCCTTGGCCTCTAGGCTCTGCCCCCGAAAGCTCCCAAAGCTCTTTGGGGTTGCCTATGAAGAGGTTCCCATGTAGCTGAGAAAAGAAATGCTAAAATATTATCAGTGGTCCAGATGGAAATACAAAGCACATGTGTTTACCCAGGCTGCCCATGAGTCTGGAGACTTTTACACAGAAGTACTGTGATACACAAATAACATTTGAATAGAACGCTTGAAATTAGGCTGTGTGGTATAACTTAAAAACTAGCTGATTTTTTTTTAAACAAGCAGTGCCTCTTTCCAGTCCTTATTCTCTGTTAATTTGTGGTAAATACTTTGTCATATTACAGTTTTATATAAGAGTATTTCTGGTACCTTTTCATTTATTTACAGTTTTATTGAGGTAGACTTTCACCTCTATAATTGCACTCTGTAATTAACCCATTGTAAGTATACAGTTTAACAGGTTTTAGTAAATTTCCACAGTTGTGCAGCCTGTTGTGCAAACCACTCTAATTCGGTTTTAGAACACTGCCATGCCCCACAAAAGTTCCCTCGTGCCCATTTATAGTTAATCTGTGCTCCCACCCTCAGCCTCAGGCAACCACTGATCGGCTTTCTGTGCCTATAGTTTTGCCTTTTTGAAAAATTTCACATAAGTGAAATCGTATTGTCTTATACATCTTCATTCTTTCTTTAGCATAATGTTTTTGAGGTTCATCCGTGTTGTAGCATGTATCAGTAGTTGGTTCCTTTTTATTGCTGAGCAGTGAGTATTCCATTATGGGATATTCCACGTTTTGTTCATCCATTTACCAGTTGATGGACATTTCGATTCTCTCCAATTTTTTAATATTCTGAGTAATGCTGCTATGAGCATTCAGGTACAAGTCTGTGCATGGACATGTGTTTTCATTTCTGAGTGGAACTGCTGGGTATTATGGTAAGTGTTTTTACTTAAAGTGTCAAACTGTTTTTCAAAGTAGCTGTACCATTTTATTTTCCCACCAGTGTATGAGGATTTTGGTTTCTCCACATCCTTGCTAACACTTGGTATTGTCCTGTCTATCTACATTTTTAGTAAAAATTTAAGACGCCCTTAAACTAAATTGGTATAGAATTAATATCTTCACAACTTTTTTAAAATTAAAGTCACGTCTTTTCTCACTATAGTTTTTTCCCTTCTTTTTTCTGTTCAGTGGATGCCTGGACTTTGGCCTTTTCTCCTGATTCCCAGTATCTGGCCACAGGAACTCATGTGGGGAAAGTGAACATTTTTGGTGTGGAAAGTGGGAAAAAGGAATATTCTTTGGACACAAGAGGAAAATTCATTCTTAGTATTGCATATGTAAGGAAACGTTGCTCACTTTTTCTCTCTCTGATTCTTTCAGTTTACTCTTCTAGCCCATTGTATTCCTTGGTAAGCGTTCTGCATTGGTCTTGTCAGGCAGCTACTGGCATGGTTTGCCAGTCAGCCAGTTAGACCTGCAGCCAGCAGATTGCTTGTGTTTGGTGGGGATGGCTTAACAATATGGAGCTTCAAATGATCTCAATATGTTCTCTGCGCAGAGTCCTGATGGGAAGTATCTGGCCAGTGGAGCCATAGACGGAATCATCAATATTTTTGATATTGCAACCGGGAAACTTCTGCACACGCTGGAAGGTGTGGTTCATCGTTTATTTTGTGCAAACTGGGTTATCAGATCACAAAGGAAGACGTATTCTTTCATTAAAATGCTGCTAAATGGCAAATGAGCATTAGATTTGCAAAACATCAATCTCAGTTGGAGATCTCAAATGCCTCTAAGGTTCAGTTTTGTCACTAGTTATAACCTAGACATATTAGCTCTTGTACCAGTGTTAAATGCTTTTTTTGGTGAACAGGCCTTTTATTTATGTGTTAATATATCCTAGCTATATGAGTGTCTTATTTCTGTCATGTTTGGTTCTAAAGAACTTTGTGATTAGAAAATAACTGCTTTTTGTCAGTAATTTGAAGGTAGATGAAAGTGCTGTGCCTACCCTTTGCACTGATGACCTCTGGGCAGGAGAACTGGGTACTAGAACAGGGGAAGGGCTGGAGGGCGACTTCTACTCTGTATTCTTTTGTACTATTCTGAATCCTACCAAGAGGATATATTACCTCTTCAGTGTATCCTTTACCCTACAACAAAGGATTTGGTAGGGAAATAGCATCCTATTTGTTCAACCTTGCAAATCAGAAACGATGCATATTTCCATGTTTGGCCATATCTGTGGCAGAGGAGTTTCTTCTAAGCAATGTGTGCTGAGGTCCAGTTGGTCAAGGAAGGGATCTGAGGTGAAATGGCTCCAGCAGGAGGGGCCTGGGTTATGTGCATGTTTCTAGAGCATTAGAAGGAAGGGTCCAGTCAGTACCCTCTCTGACTGAACAGCTGGGCAGTGCAACCCAGTGACTTACAGTCATTAAAAGTGACACAGTTAGTGGACACTGTATTAGTTAACAAGCGTCTTTGTGAATTTCAGGCCACGCTATGCCCATTCGCTCCTTGACTTTTTCCCCGGATTCGCAGCTCCTTGTCACTGCTTCAGATGATGGCTACATCAAGATCTATGATGTGTAAGTTACCTGTTGGGATTCAAGGCTTCTCACTTAATACCAATGCCTGTTTTGCCTCTTATCATTAGGAGGAGCCCTAGCAAGTGTGCTGCTCCCTCTCTGGGTCTAGGAAAGACTTGTGTTCAGGTCCTGTCAGACGCTCAGTCTCCCCAGTCATTCCTCCCCTGTCAGCGTCCCTGCTTTGAGCTTAGAATGTTATGGAGGAAGACGTGCATGGGTTACCTACTAGGATCACATACTTGCTACTTTTTTTCAGGCATCCTGTCTGTTGTGATTTTAAATTCTTTTAGGTAGGTAAGTAGTGTACAGTTGAGGAGATGGAGCCATGGGCTGTAGCTGGCTTGGAGTGATGGTAAACAATTAGAACATCCATTTTCTAGGGGTGTTCTAGAAGGTACTTCTCTGCCCTAGTTAGGGAACTGTCAGTTCATAAGCCAGCTTGCAGCAGGTCTAGATGAGGGAGCTTTTTTGTTGTTGGTTTTTGACCACAGGTATAGAAGTGAGTTAATCTTCAGTTCACGGCTCTGTTTCATTGGAAGCCTGTGCAAGGGCCCTTTCTCTTGTTGTTTCCCCCTGTCTTTCTCAGTCCCCACTCCTTTTCACCCCTGAGGTCTCCCCTATACGGTGTTTGACGTGTGTGTGATGCTTTGACTCAGTACTGCAATCCGTGTGCCTCTGGTTCCTGGCTTCCAAAGGTAGCATTCTAATCCACTGGGTGCGTATGTTACACTTCTTCCCAACGACGGGTGAACGACGGGTGCCACAACCACGATCATCCACGTGCATGTCCTTTTATGGGCCTGTGAGAGTTTTTCGGGAGTTTAAACTTGGGGGCTTTTGGAGGACGAAAAGTTGTCAAAGAGACATGGAATGAGAACTGCAGCTTCTGGAATTAGAGCTGAATGAGGGTGTTAGGGTCTGGGGGGAAGATGCCTCTCTCAAACTGTGCTTGCCTGTCAGTAGCAGAGCCAATATAAATAGCAGCAATTCCTTAAGTATCCAGTTTTCTTTAATAAGGCTTTCAGTGCTACAATTTCATCATCCTCCCAACACCGGTAAGGTAGCGCGGATTAGCGTCCCCATAATGCAGGCGAGAAGCCCAAGCTGAGGTGGTGGTTTGGCTAAGGTGCTGTTACTGAATGAACACCTAGGACTTTTACCTTCTTGTGATCCCACTGCTTTCCACTGAGGCCACCTCTCCTCCTCGTACCTAACTGAGGTTTGCTCTACTCTTCTGGGTTCAGAGGTGAAACTGCTGGCTGGCCTCAGTCGGGTCTTAGGATTGTTTTCCAGCCATAAGTGATTTCATTTCACTTTTTTAAAGAGTGAAAATGACTGTAGTAATTAGATCTGTCTTGTTCTTGGTTAGCTTAAAAATGGTCTATCCAAGCCACATCTGTTGTAAAGAGTACATCTTGATACATTCCTTAGACACAAGGCACTGGCCCTATATGGAAAGGGTACTGGGTGGGCAGGGGTCAGAACCTGCAACTGCCCTGAGATGGCCTCCTTGCCCCTGCTGGTTGTGTTTCCTCATCTTAGGAGTTGGCTTGCTGAGCCTTCTTTATTTTGAGCTTTTTAAGCTCTGCTTGTTCAGGATTTTATTTTTGGCTCTTGGTGACATTGACATATTTGGGGTTAATGCTGTTGAAAATTTTGTTTCTGCAGTGTGTGATGCTACTTCATTGAAAAGGGAATTTTTAAACTAATACTGTGGTGATTATAAGGATAGCAGATTTGGTCCAATTAAACGGGCAATTAAGAGTATACCTTCCATTTCAGTGATTGTATTCCAAAAGTTAACCTCTCCATTTTATTTGAAACTCCCATTTCAGACAGCACGCTAACTTGGCTGGCACATTGAGTGGCCATGCATCCTGGGTGCTGAACGTTGCATTTTGTCCTGATGACACACACTTTGTTTCCAGGTACTTATGATTCTTATCAGTTTCTAAAATGTTAGGAAGATGAAGATGGTCATCTTGTATGAATTGCCTTAAAATTTGAAGACCCTTTTTTAATTCAGATAGGCTTTGTTTTCTGCAGTGTTTTTTAAATTGTGAAGTTAATTGTCCTTAGCTGGAACAAAAGTGGATTATTTTTGAACTCAGCTCTTAGTTCTGCCTTATAAATCTAGGCTTCTACCTACAGTTACTTAAGGGATACCTGTGTTACAGTAGTAACTTCAGATATGAAAATCTGTTCTTAAAATGTTGTGCTTTGAGACCCCAATGTTGTTTAGGCCCAGGATGGCCAAGACAGTTGAAAAACAGGAGATGGATGGCTTAATAGCATTGCACAGAGGTTTACAGAAGCCTCTGAGAACCTTTATTTTGAAGCTCTCACGGGCCTCCCTCCCATCCGGATATAGGACTCTCATCCGAGACTCCTGATGAGAACATTTAATATGAAGGCCAGGCAGATCAGAAGTTCAGGGAAATAGCTGCTCTGTGAGAGGGGAAAGCCAGCCAGTGATGCCCACATCCTTGGCCACCTTTTGGGGCCCTGGATGGCCACTTGTGTACCCAGGCACCATGGGGGCCTCTAGGTAGGCTGAGTGAAGGAGTGTGGGATTTTTGATCAGGTTCTTTCCAACTTCAAACCAGTCTGAGAACTTTTCTGATACTAATGTTCCCTTTTTTAAAATAGCTCATCTGACAAAAGTGTAAAAGTTTGGGATGTTGGAACGAGGACTTGTGTTCACACCTTCTTTGACCACCAGGATCAGGTATGGCATAATTAACATTCATATTCCTTTGGATTGCTAGCATTGTCTGACCGCTGTGCCAAAACTCATTCCTTTTCCTAACCTTGCTGCTTGGGTTGTCAAGACCAGTCGACCCTTGGGGCTGAGCTACTCTGATTGCTTGGATGTCCATCCAGCCCGTGTTCCTGTGTGCACTCTGGGGTGCGGAGGCTCAGGACGTGCTGTCAGCCTAGCAACCCACGAGGCATGATATGTCCCTATGTAGGCCAGAAAACGGGTACTAGCCAACAGCTTTAAAATGCCTTCTTTGAAACATGCTGCAGCTGGTGCCTGGGGCGTGCCTGGGCCCTTTTCTGGGTACAGCTGGGCCATGGCTGGCTCAAGAAGAACCTGCTTCCTCAGAAGCTTCCATTCCATTCCACAGCCATCACTTTTCTCTTTTGGAGCGGCCCAAAGAAGTGAAGTGATTTTTTTTTTCTTTGAATATACTTGAAGCCAGAAATTCTTACAGGTTGTTTGAAGTTAGTGATATTACTAACTTTTGTTTCAGTCTTTAAATTAGGGAGAAGAGGCTTTGTTTTCATAGGAGTCTTATCTTTCCAAGATGAATGTGAAATGATAAAGGCATTCTAGTGCAGGGCTTCTCTGTCTTTAATGTGCACAGGAATCCCCTGGGGATCTGGTAACAATGCAGATGCTGATTCAGTGGGTCTGGCCTGGGCCTGAGTTTTTGTGTTTGTCACAAGCTCCAGGTGAGGCTAGCATTGCTGGTTCCAACCACTTTGAATAGCAAGGGTCTTGGGGAAGTAGTATAAAAAATAAAATACCCGGGGCTTCCCTGGTGGCGCAGTGGTTGAGCATCCGCCTGCCAATGCAGGGGACGCGGGTTCCTGCCCCAGTCTGGGAAGATCCCACATGCCGCGGAGCGGCTAGGCCTGTGAGCCATGGCCGCTGAGCCTGTGCGTCCGGAGCCTGTGCTCCGGAACGGGAGAGGCCACAACAGTGAGAGGCCCGCGTACCGCGAAAAAAATAAAATAAAATAAAATAAAATACCCATGGCAGTGTAAAGTTGTCTTTTAAGATATTTTAAATGCTCTTATGGCAATCTCATATAATCTCTTCGGAATGCAGCTTAAAGTTAACAGTTGTTCATGCTTTTTTACATTTAATCTTAAATTGTTGCCAACAAAGTTGAGGGGGTTTAATTTTGACATTCCACTACTGGATTTAAACATTTAACTCAGGGAGTAAGACCTGGCTGGCTGTGTTGCTTGGCAGGTGAAGGTCAGTGTGTGGTGCTTTCCTCAGAGGAAGACGTTTGGAGTGGAAATGAGGCCATCACCTGGCCCAGTCACAGCACTGAAATCAGGGCTAGAACACCCAACTAAGGGGTAGGGTGACAGGCTGACCTGATAAAACTCCTGCCACATCAGTTCTGTCTGGGAAGGAGGTGTGAATCTGTTAATTCAGTACATAGCAAATGAAAGCAATGACGTGTGACGCCAAGTTATCTAGCTCCTAGGGACAGGCAGGTTTCATAGGCCTCTAATAAGAGAGTGAGAAGTACTAACCGTGGGGGGGCGAGCCCGAGGAGGTAGGTGAGGAGCACAGTTTGCAATGATCCCTGTAGGCAGCGACCTCAGGGTGGTTGGGCCTTTTCCTTCCTGGAAACATAAATGAGACCACATGCTGGTCCCTTGTGGGTTCCATCTTCACAGCATTAGGTCACTTCCTAGATTGTGAATCTTTGAAAGGTTTGTAGATATCTTGATTTGTGTTTAGAAATGAAATTTTCTTGAGTTGGGAGGTGAGTGGAATGATAATCAAACAGTAGTAATAGAAGATCCCTGGTTAGAGGAAAGGCAGAAAGCACGAGAACATCCTCATCTCAGTGTTTTTCTAGATTCAGTATAATGAGAATAGAGTAAGGATGTTCATTCATAAAGAATAAAGGTGTTAGTGGAATTTTTTTTTCTTTTTATTTACAGGTCTGGGGAGTAAAATACAATGGAAATGGCTCAAAGATTGTGTCTGTCGGAGATGATCAGGAAATTCACATCTACGATTGTCCAACTTAAACATCAATCTTCCAGGCTAATGCTGCAGAAAGAATGTATAGATTGATCATGACATTCCTTACCTTTCTAGCTTGTTTAAAAGAAATATAGCATTTATTGTAGCAAACACTTAAATTTTGTAGATACAGTATAAATCTTTTCATGTTTTATTGGAAACGCCATTCATACTGTAACATAAAGTGTTCTTAATGCAGACACCCATGTTCTTGAACATGCTTCGTTTTCATTTGCCCTGTTACTGGTAGAACAGTGAGAGGAATCAGCATCCTTATGTGAAACCGAGTATCTGCCTCAGAAATGAATACATCCAGGCACTTACTGAACTTTCCAGTACAGAAATTCAGGCTCACTCTTCCAAGGAATGAGTCATGCAGAAGCTGTAAGAGAAAAGCTAATCTATTTCAGAATGGGATCCTGAAGGAAACAGGATATGTGACTGGGTGGGAACATTCTGTAGTCCTATCTGGGCATTCTTCTATTTGACAGATTAAAAAATGTCCCCTGTCACACTCTTTTTCACCCTATTAATTTTAGAGAAGCTGTAACTTGCTGGGTGGGTATTACTGCCTTGACAGTGTCTACAGGCTCAAACCTGTACTTACTCTGGTTGACCTCTTGCCTGGAGGTACGTGTACCTCAGTTTTCTCCTCGGCGACCCACTTGAGACATGGTCTGCGTGTAATAGGAAAGGTGTAAGTAGCTAACCCTCCGAAGTTCGTTGCTTTTTACTGATCATAACTTCATGTGATTCATGTCAGGTCCTGTGCTTTTCTTCCAAACTCCCCATAACCCTTAGCATCAAGCCCGTGCTCTTTAGGTAGCCCCTCGCTTCTCTCTCCTGCCTCTGCCTTGTTCACCTTCCTGTACCCACATAGCCCTGGCCACTTCCTCTGCCTAGACCTTGAGAGGTCTCACCGCTTTCAGGTAGCCGCTCAGGGGCAGCTCCCAGTAGAGGCCTTCCCCTGGCCCCTTTCCCATTACTCTTTCTTCACTGCAGTCATCACTGCGTGATGTTTGTATTGATCCCCACCCCCAAAATATAAGCTCCGTGAGAGTGGAAACTTCATTCCGTTATATCAACCAACATGAGGCAAACTGGCACTTAGCACTGGTCACTGGAGCTCGAGAAAATTAAAAAACAAGCAAACAAAACCATCTGTCTCTCATACCAGCTCAATTTTAATTTTAAAGTGACAAATATACAGGTGGAATAAATTTTAAGCAACACCCTCCAAATTCTCTACATGACAAGGAGCTGAATGTAATTTTGCCTCATCATCAACTAGACAGTTTTCTAGCAATAATTTATTAGGAAGTCACAGCACAGAAACAACACCCTGGAGTTGTGGTCCATTCGTCAATTGATTTTCATATAGGCTTAGTTGGAAGAATAGGTTTTATGTCTTTCCTGACTGATGGTCAAAGTGGGACAGGTGGGCTCTTTCTATACCTATTTTGAGCAAATTATGCCCACCCACTAGCCAGCTGGAGCCTGGTCCATCCACTGGACCTACCTGCCATGGGTCTCATCTACCCTTTGGCCCTCCTGGGGAGGTCCCTGGTCTGAGTCAAACTCTCAGATACTGTATAACCAATAAGGGTGGATCTGAAAAGTGGCCTCTGCTTTAACCCAGCAGCTTAGAAGGCAGGAGTTTTTCTTCATGACTGTTGTGGGAAGGAAAGGAGCAGTAATGGCTAAAGGTTGAGGTAACCCTAAATTTAAATTGTAGTCTGCCTGCCAGGAGTTAATGAATAATATCCCTCCCAACAAGTTATCATTTACAGTGGTAGTCCATACAGACTGCGGTCCAGAGTAGAACTTCAGTTCTCACTAAAACATTATCCCTTGAGCAGGAAGCCCTTTGTGATATGGCTGTGCAAGGAGAGGAACCATCCTTTGGAAGGGAGTTCAATCTGGGAGAATGAGGTGGTGCCTTTCCAGACCCTCAAGTCATCCAGGATCACTGGGCAGACAGGGAAGCTGGCTGTGCCACAGGGCTGAACCACCAGCATCTCCCGTGGATTCCGTTGCACTGAGGCTGCTGCAGACATGGATGGTTTCGTTATCTTTACAAGTAAGCACTTTGGTGGGAGAGCACTGCAAATGCTGTCAACAGAAAATAAAACAACAAAAAACAAGGTGCAGGGGGCGCAGGCAAACAGTTTTATCAGCGTTTCATTTAAAACACTGGTTTGTCCTCACCGCAAGGCCTGGAAGGTTCAGGAAGCTTCCAAGAGAGATGATCAGACACACACCCCGTTCCAAGCATTCAAGGGCACAGGACAGTGGGAACCAAGTTGGCCCTGAAGCCCACTCAGCGTGAACCAGGCACTGCAGCCAAGCCCAACCCACAGATGTGCTTTTATTCTTGAGGAGAAGCATCTAGAATCTAGATTCAGAAATGTCACATGAGCAGCCCTGAGATCATGCCCTCAGTAACTTTGCCATTATGAGGGAGGTGGGGAGGGGAAGAAACCGCAGAGCTAGACTTGGGCCAGGTCGCCCACTTCATGCCTGGAGGTTTGTAGGGGGCTGAGTGCTGTCGTCTGGGCTGTGCTTTATTGGTGGAACTGAACTATGGCAAAGCCACTAGAAGCACAAAGTGTCAGTGCGGTCACTAGCATCTCAAAAATATCCTGAAAATGTAAATAAACAGATTCCATATGCAGACTAGAGTGATTTACACTTAAAACATTTAAATATAAATTAAGCTATAACTTAAGTTACAACCAAAAGAAAAAAAAAGAAAAACCAAAAAGACACTCAGCAGTTGAGAATGCTGAACACATACACAGGACACCCCAAACACGAGGCCATTAAAGCGATGCCATTTTCATTGTGCCAACTTTATACATTCATCACGTGCTAGTCCGGCCGGGCCACGCTGCACCGGGCCACATCATGCCGTCTGGCACTGCACTCCGGCCCGGGGCCCGTCATCATCCTCCTCGTAGGCCTCCCTGTGCTGGCGCCAGTTCTGCTCATTGGGATTAAACTCCTTCAGCTCCACCTGATCCATGTCATCTGTAATCCTGACTTCCTGTCGAGGAGGGAGCAGAGCTTCCAGCTGGAGAAGGTTCTCTTGAGACAGCCAGTGTTTTTCAGGAAAAATAACCTGTAAAGGGTGAGGTGGGAAAGAGCAGTTCTTTCTTCCCTTCCCAATTAAGGCATTTAATTATATGTCCCATGAGAATAAAACACATGCACTTACTAAAAACTGTATGATCAGAGCCCCTTTCTCCAGGGGTGCTTTGTAGATTGGCATTCCTTCATTACGCACACATTTCAGGTCCCCGTGCTTTACCACCTCACCTGCCGCAGAGAAGGTTTACTTATGAAACAGGAAGATGGAGGGCAGCCTGGAGAGGTCAGTCCCCGTGTTGGGAGAGCCTGGCGCAGACACCATCACCCCCACAGCAGCAGGCAAAGGCAGGGGTCACAGGGCATCTGACTAAAAAGCTGGTCCCGACCAGAAGGATGCCTGTCAGAGGAACCGGCTGGGTGAGGGGGATGAGAGGGAGGGGGGCGGGAGTGGAACCCTCTCTGACCCACGCACGGGGCTCCTGCAGTGTACCCAAGGAGGAGCGGGCTGAAGCCTCCATCATAAGGTTGGTTTAAAACAGTGAACTGGGAGTCAACACTCAGTCCGGGTAAACAGGGGCGATACCTGTCAGCCTGCCTCTTGCGTCAGGCTGTCACTACAACCTTCCCATGAGTGGGAGGAGAGTGTGCTCCTCACAGACTCAAGCAGAGCTTGGAGCAGGAATGGGCCTCAGAGTCCAGCCAGACCCCACCTGGCAGGAGAGCCAGCCTTCTGGGTGGGGGGCTCACAAGGTGGCTCCGGCCACAGGCAGTCTCCAGGAGCTGGTGGGCTGGATCTTAATTCTACACTTTTTCAAAAGGAATCGTGGGAGTTTAGTCCCCCCAGAGCTCTTGGTTTGCCCCCAAATCTAAAAATATCATTTCCTTCCAAACATGAAAAGAAAAGGGATAAAAGGGTCTCTTTAAAAAGTATGTTCTTCAGCTCAGTAATGAAAATGGACAAAGAAACAAATGTTCAGAAAAAATGGTTGGGGGGAGCCCAAACACTCATTTATTCAGCATCCCACTCCCCTGGATGAACTCTCTCAAGAGGAAATCTTTTGTTTTTTTGCGGTAGGCGGGGCTCTCACTGTTGTGGTCTCTCCAGTTGCGGAGCACAGGCTCCGGACGCGCAGGCTCCGCGGCATGTGGCATCTTCCCAGACCGGGGCACGAACCCGTGTCCCCTGCATTGGCAGGCGGACTCTCAACCACTGCACCACCAGGGAAGCCCCAAGAGGAAATCTTTTAAAGTATCTCATGGGAGTTTTTAAAATAAAGGGTGTGAAGGACTCTCTCCTTGGGGGTCATTCAGTGCAGGGCTGTGACTCACATGTGGCCCTCAGAGCTGCTGATTGCAGGAGGAGCCCATTAGCTAAATGGCCCCAGGCTGCTGGGCTTGTTATGGTCTTTGCTTTGTTTTTAATAGCTTTTCTGTCTCTTTGCTCCTGTCAGGTGTCACACTTCTTGTTGATCTCAGCACAACTCCTCAGGCTTCTGCTTCTAACTCACCGCGGGGCAGGGAAACTGTGGGACCAAGCATGGGCAACCACGTGTAAGAGAAGGAAAGAGATGATGAGCCAGCTCTTCCGTGAGGTACAAATCTGCCTTCAGGGGGATCACACCCTGGTGAAGCTCTTAAGGCACTTTTTTCTTTAATCTCCTGATTCTCAGCCATGCTCAAGACAGCCTAAAGGCCTCTGGCGAGGAAGGCACTTCAGTAGCAGAAGAGAGAAGAGGAAATGAAGGAAAGAGAAATAAGCCAAAACAAGAAAAGAGGTGAAAGAAAAGAACTCAAAACAAGATAAATGAGCAAAAAGAAAAAGCACAAGAGAAATCTCCAGCAGAAGGTTTTCTGGACACCCTGCCCTTCCTTATAACTAAGCAAGGAAATGGGTTTCTCGGGGTTTACGACTTCCTTCCCTCTGGGGCTCACTTCCTCTCTTTCGTCCTTGGCTCCCAGTTTCCCTGTGGCTGGGATCAGCTGGGAGGCAGCAAGGAACACTGGGTTCCAATCCCATGGCAGAGGCCCCTGCTCCAGGGAGCTTGGCCAAGGACTAGCTTTCGCAAAGAAGTTACACAGCACCCCAAAGATGCTGCCCAGCTCATGCTCCCCGAAGGACTGGAATCAGGTCTGAGACAATGTTGGGGGTCTTGGACATGATACCAGGGGTCTTGGGCACACACCCTCTCACAGCCTGTGGCCTAGGGTTTTGTGTGAACTATGATCCCCAAACTTTCCTACAGAAGTGAGGGGAGGAATTGGGTACCTTGGGAGGCTTACAGAATGGAATCTAAAGGAAGGTGCTGTGTTTTAAATTTTCATGCATATTTTCATTATACTGCAGTGCTTTTCCACAATCCTTAAGTATATCTATACACAAACACAGAAATGAAAAATCAAACAGGGTAAAATTTTAACAATAGGCAAATCATACATGCGTGGTCTTCATACTGTTTTTATTTTTACAACTTTTTGTTAGTCTGAAATTGTTTCCAAATAAAAAGTAAAAAACAAAAGCAAAAAAACCCAAAACAAACCTCTGATCAAGACTTGGATATATAATTCCATTTCACTTATACCCAGAAAAGAGGAAACAGAAAAAGCCAAAGAGGAGAGTGGCAGAGAAAGAGAACAGGCCAGAAAGGGGAAGAGAGAAATGGACACAGAGGCAGGAAAGCCCTGGATGGAGGCTGGGGAGGCAAGGTGGCTCACTCTACTGGACTTAGGGTCTTAATTACACTGCCCTCGGACAGGCTTATTGGCTGGTTACCTCCCATCCCAGCTCTGAGCCTATCCCTCTAGCCTAAGCCTCAGATACCCACAGGAGAAGTCACTCCCTAACCCTGTGGCCAGCGAGGGGACCAGAGCGGCACTGCTCACGGCCAGTGATGGGGTCACGGATGTCTGGGTGGCTCAGCCACCACCACACCTGTCCAGACATTCTTTGACATGGACAACTGACCTGAAGTGCTATTCGGAGGCAGCTTCAAGTTGAGGGCCCCAGCCTGGCCTCTCTCCCTTCTCCAATTTGCCTGGCCTCCTCACAGCCCCTTCCAGGCATGGACTCAACTGCAGTGAACACTAGCCCTCCTGGGAGCTGGGAGCCTGGCATCTACACACATGCTGGCAGGCTGAGCTCTCAGGCCTTTGAGAACCCTTTGGGTCCAGAGGCAGCTCCCTCAAGCTCCTGTGCCTGTGTGCAGACGGGCGGTTCTCTAGAAGCCGCCAAGGATAAGCTGGCAGGCAATGTCTTTTTTTTTTCAGGAAAATTCTATTTTAAAATGTCTCTCACATGTAATCGACAACACAGAGGCTAGAGAAACATGGATGAATCAGCACAGATCACCATTTGATAGAAAAACACCACCTATTATCAGGTGTGTATTATTATACAAAAGTTAATTTTTAGGGCTTCCCTGGTGGTGCAGTGGTTGAGAGTCCACCTGCCGATGCAGGGGACACGGGTTCGTGCCCCGGTCTGGGAGGATCCCACATGCCGTGGAGCGGCTAGGCCCGTGAGCCATGGCCATTGAGCCTGCGCGTCCGGAGCCTGTGCTCTGCAGCGGGAGAGGCCACGACAGTGAGAGGCCCGCGTACCGCAAAAAAAAAAAAAAAGTTAATTTTTAAAAAAATTTAATTTAATTTGAAGGCTCCAGGTAGAAGTTTAGATCCCCAAGATTCCTGTTTTGAGGCTCTTTCCCCAAAACTGAATTTTTTTCGTGGAGATTATAAAAGAAATTCATAAAATTCTCAAAAGTCCCTAGTGATGACTTTAAATTTAGATAAAATCAAGTCACACTAACTTGTGCAACAGAAGTCAACCTTGAATGTGAAACCAGGCTAAGCTGCCAGCATCATTATGCCAAACGTACAGAAGATCTACAACGAAACACATTTGAAACATTACCTGATTTGGATGTAATAATAAGGACTCGATCATCCAGTGTTTCTATCATCTTCTTGAAGCCACAAAGGGCTTCAGAAAGCTGAATTTTCATTTTCATGATCAAGTCATGGCCTCGTCTCTGAAAGACACTATGATCCTTCTGATCAAGCACAATTATGACATCACCAGGCTCCAGCTCAGGCTCCTGATCGCCTTCTCCATGAAACAGTATCTTTTGCCCATCTTTCATACCTATGAAACATCATCCCTTTCTGATTAGCCACTTCTCTTTAAAACCATACTTCCGACAAAGCTTTTGAAGAAGGCTCACAGAGAGCCCTCTGGGGGTTCTTTATTCATCAAACCTCCCAACCTCGTGCAGGCCTGGGGCTGGGATTACCACTGACCAAGAGGCCTCACTCTCCTCGGCATAACGAGGTTCCTCAGCCAAGTGTGCAGCAGGGAGAGTGGGAAACGAGGCCGCCACATCGCAAGTTCCCCGCGCACTCCCCGCCCTCCTGGCCATGCGATGCCACAGCTGACAGTGCACTGTGAGCAGAAGGTCCCCGCCTGCTTCTTGACGCACAAGCAGCACTGGGCTCTGGGGGCCTTCTACTAAGTCTCTGTGCACACAGGCACAGTGTTCAGTCCCTCCACGTGTGTGCTGGTTTGGGTGTTGATTTGTGTACTTTGGTCTCTCACCTAAATACATTTGCTGGATTAGGAAGCCACAGAATGATCAGGGGGAACAACTAAGAGGGAAAAAGACCCTAAAATGATGGCCCCAGGCAAAATGAACAGCAGGAGGAAGGTGCTAGATTTGGGAGAATCTGCTGCAACCGAGGGGAAATGTGTGGAGAAAAGGGACATACAGCTGTGAAGACTTAGATAAGCTTTTACGGCCAATGAGCGACAAAAGCCATTAGGAATAACACTCCCAGTGACTCTAAAGTAATAGTTTGAGAAGGGCAAGAGAGGGCAATTAACCAAAATCAAGGTTAAGTGACTTCCAGGGCATTGGAAAACCTTACAAAGAAGTTTTGTAAGCAAGAAAACTTTGGCAGGTGACATGGATGGAAATAAAGCCAGGGAGGGTCAATGGAAGATGCCCTGGGAATTGGAAGAACCGACGGCACACTCTAACGGCATTTAAATACCACTTGTGCTGTGTCTCGTTTCCCCGATACCTAACCCTTGTGCCCCACAATCAGCACCTCAGATGCACGTCCACCAGCGTGGGGCGCTACTGCTGCACAGACTCACCTTTCTCCACATGCACCTCGATAATCTTCTTCTCTCGGATGACCTTGGCACCACTGCAGCTTTCACAGCGGTCCTTGGGGTTGATGCGCTCGCCCTGGCCCTTGCACTCGATGCACACGGTCTGGATCTGCTGCACCATGCCCGGCCCGATCTGCTGGATGTGAATCTGCATCCCTCGCCCCTTGCACACTGGGCACTTCTCCACAGATCCCTTCTTCCCACCAACGCCTGTGGGGAGACAGGAACAAGGCTGTGCTCTTCCCTTAGAAGCATCTCTGCTGGGTGCCACCAGAGAAGGATCATGAGCCATGAAATTGGACACTGGGGTTTGAATTCTGACTATTTACAACCATGAAAAGCCATGTGGAAGAGCCTGGATGGTTCTAGCCAAGCAGACAACATCCAGATGTTAACATGTAAGCACAAACATTTGTGCGTTTGGCTATACCAAGATAAATTCATTGCTTTAACTCCACCAAATGCGTTTTCTTCCACCCCAGGGTGGAAGAACACACATGCCTACGTGTGACCAGTGGAGACTGGAGAAAACAGCCCTGTCCACAAGGGTGGCTACCCAGCCCAGCCACTTCTCTGTGGGACAATGTGTGACCAAGTCACCAGATCTGACTTTTCTTGAAAAATCAGATTTTTAAAAATTACGTTAATTACATTTACACTTAAATCAAGGACAGCAAACTATGGCCAGCTGACTGGTTTTGTAAATAAAGCTTTATTGGAAGGACAGGTATGTCATCTGCTTGTTTACAGTCTATGGCTCCTTTTTTTTTTTTTTTTTGTGGTACGCGGGCCTCTTACTCTTGTGGCCTCTCCCGTTGCGGAGCGCAGGCTCAGCGGCCATGGCTCACGGGCCCAGCCGCTCCATGGCATGTGGGATCTTCCCGGACCGGGGCACGAACCCATGTCCCCTGCATCGGCAGGCGGACTCTCAACCACTGCGCCACCAGGGAAGCCCAATGGCTCCTTTTGCGATAAGAGTTGAATAGTTACAACAGGGACTGCATGGCTCACGAAGCCCAGAAATACCTATCATCTGGCCCTTTACAGCAAAAGTCTGCCGACCCCTAGGTTGGGTCAACCATTCTTGATTTTTTTATTTTTAAAATAATTGTCAACATATTAAATAAATGTGCAGTCCAAATAAAAAATGTACAGGGCCAAATGAAATGGATTTGGCCCTCAGGCTACCTGTTTGCAATCTCTGACCTTCACATTTAAAAAGATAAATTATTTTTCTCTGAATTGTAAAACAGTAAGAATTGTTTCCAGATCTAAGGGACCAGAACTATGAGACTCATTCAGAAATTCTTACCTTCACATTTCTCACAAATTACATTTTTCTGGAGAGCCAATTTCTTTGTGACTCCATTATATAAATCTTCAAGAGTTACAGACAACTGATGCACAACATTCTTGCCTTACCGAGGGAAAGAGAAGACCAATTAGTAATACTGTATTAAATATACCACTGTGTTAAATACTACCCACATGACCTTTAGTGGTGTGAAGTCTCAAACTGTGCCTGTGTCATTCATTCCCTTCCCTGTGGGAAGCAATGCTTGCTTCTGTCACACCTGGCCCATCCTCTGGCCCTTTG